TATTGACTTTTTCATAATAACTGTCATTCGCCCTTTAAGTCGGACGCAGTGTCCGACTCAAAGGCAATGCCTTTTAGGCATTGTAACATCATAATTAAACCATTAATTAGCACAAAATAGATTTTAATAAGTTTGTTTATTTTGATATCTAAAATAGGTGGAAATTTCTTTTTATATAGATCTAGATTTAGAATCTACTTCATTTGAATTCTTTTCAATAAAAAATATGTTCTTTAATGTATTATTAAGCATTTGTTAATTCAATATTCATTTTAAAGAGGGAAACATTTATCTATAAGTTTTTATTATTTCTTTGAACACCCGATCAAATGTGTTGATCAAATATGTGACGTTATACTATAAAACTTAATTTTCATTGTTATGAGATATTAAACAAAACGCCACTTAATGTGATATTAAATAAATGGTATTATCACAAGTACGCAAACTGTACAATTTTTGAAGGTCCGTAACTTAGGCAATATAATTCTAGAATGCTTACAACTGGTCATAAAACATAGTGGAAAACAATGTTAAATAATTATGCAATGTGAATATTTGTTTAAATGTAAGATATTATTTGTATGGCATGTAATAAAATCCTGGATCGTAAAATGTATATAAAAATTATAAAATCGGCGAATTAAATAATTCTACTCTCTCCAGAGGTTTTAAAGTATTATAATTTTATGCAACTCGTTCAATAAATTCAGTATGTGCTTAACACTTGTTCAGTTTTTTGGGTTTTTTTTTTTTTGTAGTAACTATAGTGCTTTAAATAAGTATCAAAACCTTGTACGTTAATATCGTAAGATGAACACTGACTAAACCTTGCTATTTTAATTAACAGGATGTCAAAGAATATTGTTAACCAGATATGGCTTCGAGAAGTCGGATCAAGAAAACTGTTTTACCATTGACAAAGCATTGACAGAAATAGACTATTTATTTGAGAAAGAATGCTATTTCGACCACCCACTCATAAATGACATCTATATCATCCTTAGAGATTTAGTCCTATTTTAACATTAATGTTAGAAATAAAGTGTTGAGTGTCAACTGGGACATCGAATTTGGGGGAATAAAAAGTATCGTTTTTTTGCAAGAAAGATTGCTAGAGAAGATGTACTAAATATACCTGAAATCAAGCGTTTGGGGGAAATAAGTTTAGTGATAACGGATGATGATTTTTCACGGGAATAAAAGTTTTGAAAAAAATAGCAATTGTTAGTTTTTCTTTTTTTTTCTCAAAGATAAATAGTCTATATTCTGTCTTTACCCATTCTACCTGTCTTCATACTTTTTCTCATTTTCTTTTAGATGTCTTTACACAAATTGGATAAAAAAGGTATTCGGATGATGCCATGTCAAGAGCTCTTATTGATGTAAATTCTAAGACTCTGTCACTTAGAGCTGCCGCAAAAAAGTATGGTGTACCTAAATCTTCATTAAGTGATAGGTACACAGGAAAGGTACAAGAAGGCTCTAAATGGGGAAGAAAGACAATTTTCACCTATCAAGAGGAGAGGAATCTCATTGAGCATGCAATGAAAGGGCTGATCTTGGTATTGGATTTACGAAATCTAACTTCCTAAAATTTGTAGGAAAACTACGCAAAGGAAACAAAGGTTCCTTTTAACACTGCTGACGCCTCAGAAAAGTGGTGGCGTGGTTTCAAATCGAGGCATGCTGATTTCTCACTACGTGCACCGGAAGCAACTTCCTCTGGCAGGCACGCAGCCATGACCAGAGAAAGATATGTAAATACTTTGCTGCATTGAAGGGTGTTTTGGAAGAAAATAAATTTGAAAAAGTATCCAGAAAGGATATGGAACATGGATGAGACAGGTCTCTCTTTAAGCCATAAACCGGCAAAGGTCATTGCAAAAAAGGGTGCCCGTGCTGTTCAAATCTAAAGTCTCTTTAAATAGAGAACTTGTTACTATTATAGCATGCGGAAACGCCAAAGGTCAATGCATACCCCCTCATGTTATTCTTCCGGGAAAGTCAGAAAGAGTCATGAAGGGGTATGACATTGACTTTGCGCCTTTAGGAACAAATCTAAGTGTTTCCGAAACAGGGTGGACCAAAGAAGGCATTGGCCGCTTATGGTTTCAATCAACATTTTTGGAACACATTGGGAATGAAAGGCCCCAGCTTCTGATATTCGACGGCCATGCCTCACATAATCACATGGAGTTCATTGAAATTGCGCGAAAGGAAAACATCGTATTAGTGGAATTACCAAGCAAGACAAGTCATTGGACACAGCCCTTTGATAGAACTGTGTTCAAATCATTGAAAACTAAATGGAACACCAACATTCAAACTTTTATGTCTGACACTGGTGTATCTGTAGGACACGCACAGTTCTTTCGAATGTTCACTAAATCATGGAATGAATCAATGAATGCCGACAATATTTCAAGTGGGTTTGTCTCTACAGGTATATGTCCATATAACCCAGGCGCAATTCCCAATATTGCTTACACGCCATCTGATTTGTATGTTGATGAAAATAAATTAACAACACCCTCTACAACAAGAAATCCTTGCTCATCTGCAGGTAATTCCAATCATACAACACCAAGCCAAGATGACTCTCAGGCAGTCGGTCCTCAAGTTCCTCATCCAAATGTATCTCAACCATCACTCCCATCATCTCCACATTCTAATGTAGTTGTAGAAGCGTCATGTGAAGTCCCTGTTCCATTGCCTTTACCCGATCATGTATCGTCGGATACGCAGCAGCTAGAATCAACTGTTTTTCAGTTTTGATGTTATATCATCCGGTGCACAGGTTATAGATTTGCCAGCAAAAATTGACAGTAGTGGGAATCTTACTATGGTTACAGAACATGAAGCAATAGAATCAGTCTCATCCAACGAATCCAGTGTATCTGAATGTCCAACAGATATGGCACTGAGAGTTATTGAGTCAGCTCTTACCGACGATATGAAAAAGAAATACAGAGAAGCATTTCAACAAGGTTTGTTTTAATTTGTAAAACAGGAAACATATCCTTATTATCCTTAACATATTTGTACATAAATATTTTTTTTTCTTCAACCTAATTTCATTTACATATACATTTCATTTTTCAAGTAAAGTACAAATAAAATATAAAAGTAATAACTTTTTTTCAGAAAACGTACGTTATATACATCATTCAAACAGCGTGAGAAAAATGTATAAACTTATATAAGGTATATGATATCTTAGTCTACATATAACATATCATATCAAATAGCTTCGATCAATATAAATTTATTGAACATTATTAATTAAATAATATGGCAGCCACTCTTTCATGAAAAACAATAGACACCGATTAGTGTACACATTCAAAACTATATTTCAGGTAAAGATATCGATGATTCTCTTTTCTATACATGGAAAATGTACTATGAGAAAACAACAACCGCTGAAATGACAACTCCATTGCCGTCTACATCTTCGTCTTTATTTTCTCTCCCTCTGCAGAAAAAGAAAACAGCAACTACAAAAAGAAAACATATTGGTCAGTATTTTGTAATATCATCCGATGAAGCCTTTCAGGAGATGAAAAAGGCAAAGGAGGAGAAAGAGCTGAAAGCGGAACTGAAAAAGCAACGAAAACTTACGAGAGAAAATCTTAAAAAAGAAAAGGAAAATGTGAAAAAAGAAAAAATGATAAAAAAAGCTGCAAAAGCTATCAAAAATGATTAAATATATCTTAAATGCAAACTAAAAAATCGTAACTTACTTGTTGCACCCCGTGTGTTTGAAATAGTTTTCTTTAAATTACTATTTGAACTATTAATCTTGACAACCAACACAGAAAATATGTGTACATGCATTATTTAAAATCCTATTTCATGGTAAAGGTACTTAAAAGTTTTGCTTTGTAGAGTTGAAATATACAACATTGATAGTTGATATATATATTAAATAATGAATATACATGATAAAATACATTCAGATCAAGGAATTGTGTGTAAGATATCTAAGAAATACAATACGATGTATTTATATTCGATTTTTACAATCATTACCAATTAAACCGAATGCATTTATTATGTCCAGCATTTTGATAATTACCTAATGTTATTTTATCAATGTTGATTAAAGCAAGATAAACATATTTCATGTTTTCAATGATAAAACTGTTGAATTGTATAATCTTGTTGTGTTAAATTTATTTCCATTGCAATTCAAAAACGAATTTAACAAAAAAAATTTCGCAAATATTTACAATGATTGCAGGGACGCAGATGTTTGGTGCGCTGGAAATGTCAATCATAATTAAGGGCGGGTTTTTTAAAGGTTCAAAAAATGCATATCAAAGTGGCGGAGTCATTTATGCATCGTTTTCCACTCATATGTTGTCAGCTTACTAAACTGAAAAGGCCAAACGGGTTGAAAAAATTAACTTGCAAAAAATGTTTCAATAAAATTCCAGATTTATATTTTGACCGGAAAATCTTGCGGGACACCGCTGATGACCTATTGTTGGGGACGGACGGCCGGGGAGGTTAATGGGCCCTTTTTTTGATAAAAACGTAAAATTTTTACAAAAAAGTTTTACTTTTTCCCCTTTTTACTTTTAAGAAATCTAACCGTTTATACAGCCTTACAAAAAAAATTTTCCCCAGTCAATGGGACTGTGTGACTTTAGGGCTAAATTGAGTTATCAAGTTATTTAAGTACTTTGATGACATTGGTCCGAGATATAATATATTCTCACTTTAAAAAGCGCTCTTAAGATAAAGTACAAAATATCCCGCATGCGTTAGTCTCGGCTGTGAAGAGGGGAAAGACGTACCAAAGAGTAACCTGAAAAACCTGTCCGACTTAAGGGCGAATTACCCTACAACACCAGAATATAGTAAGGTTTGACAGTATTCTTGGGCCAGTCCACCCGGACAGTTTTGCATTTCTAATGGAGTATGTCTATTTTGATTTTATACACTTTGGACAAGACGACAAAATTTCATCTCTTAAAGATTTTTTGATATGTATGGATGATATAGATGCTAAAGGATTTGAACATTTTCCAGTTATCATTGCAACTGATATAACAAGAGGATTAGCATTTCTTCACAGCAAAAATATTGTACATCGTGACCTAAAACCAGCAAACATTTTGGTTTCTAAACAATACTATACATCAGAAAATATGTCCGAAGTGTGGGAAACCAGACCTATTTTTGCCAAGATTACAGATTTTGGAGAGAGTACAGCTACCATGATACAGATAGCCAGTTTAGTTCACACAAAAACAAGTAACATATCCAGAGGGACCCCGGTGTTCATGGCTCCGGAAATACATGTTCATGATGGGAAAAGTAAACATGACATTGAACACATGAAAAGTATGGATATATGGTCACTTTCAATGATATTTTATTTGCTTACAAACCTTGACAAGAAGTATCCTTTCCAAGAAGAGATCAGCGAACTTCAAAATGCTAGTGTTAGTAGTCAAAATATTATGTGTAAGGTGTTAGAGAAACAGCCATACCCAAAACATGGAATGAAGTATTCTGAACACAGAAATATACAATGGAAACTTATTGCCAGGATATTTGATATGTGTGTTCATTGTAGCTGGGATCAAAGACCAACAGCCAAGAAAATATTGCTCACTTTTGAAGAAAATGAACGGGATCATACAGAATGTAAGCGTGAACGGTAAGAAATAAGAATTTGAATTTAATTTGTCAACAATTTCTTTAAACAGCATCTGCTCCTAAACCACATGGCCAATTGCAACCAAACTTTACAGAAATGATCCTTAGGTGGTCCCCTTTCAAAGTTGTTCAAAAATTTAAATTGTATTGGCAACAAATAGGAAAATCCTATGTTCTTGTCAGAAACCACAAGGCTTAAATTTTTAGATATTTGATGTGTAACATCCTCTAGTGGACCTCTACCAAGATTGTTCAAATTATGGCCTCAGGGTCAATATTGGCCCTGCCCTGGGGGTCACTTGATTTTATGTAGATTACATAAGGAAACTTTAAAAATCTTCTTGTCAGAAACTATTTGGCCTACAGCTTAGTTATCTGGTATGTAGCATCCTGTAGTGCACCTCTACCAAGATTGTTCAAATTATGGCCCTAGGGTCAATATTGGCACTGCCCCGGGGGTCACTTGATTTTACATAGACTTATTTATGAAAACTTCAAAAATCTTCTTCTCGGAAACTGTTTGGTCCAGTTCTTAGTTATTTGATGTGTAGTATCCTCTAGTGAACCTCTACCAAGATTGTTCAAATTATGGCCCCAGGGTCAATATTGGACCCGCCCACGGGGTCACTTGATTTTACATAGACTTAAATAGGAAAACTTTAAAAAATCTTCTTGTCAGAAACTATTTGACCGAGAGCTTAGTTATTTGGTATGTAGCATCCTGTAGTTGACCTCAACCAAGATTGTCCAAATTATGACCCTAGGGACAATATTAGCCCCACCCTGGTGGTCGCTTGATTTGGTTGGCAACGGAACGGAACAAGGTAAATTTATTTTTTAAATAAAACTTATGTTATCTATTAAGTGAATTTATGCTATTATATTATGCAACTCAGCTTAATAGTTTTTTTTATTAATTACTGAAGATTAAATAATTTTCAGACCATATTTTGTAGCATTGCAGTTATATCCCATATGGTGCCTCAAACCTTGTTCCGTTCCGTTCCGCAAAATACCAATAGCCTAAATTAAGCTAATATACACTATGTTTCTATGTGGAATGTTTGTAAATACGGTTTTATTATGTTTGAAGAAAAACTGTATCATACTGTAAATGTGGCTTAATCTGTAATGCTACTTGCCAGTTATATACATTTTGTATCAACATTACAGGAAACAACAAAGGAACAGCTGTCAGAGTACTGTATGCATGAAGTTAATGACATGTCAAGTACAATACCAATATCACATGCTGATGTAAGTCATTATGGTTTCCTGAATATATATATTTCTTGCTGGTAAATTGGGACAGATATGTTCCAATATACCAACATAAAGATATGCATATTCCATTTCTTTTATATTCCCTTATTTACTTCAACAAGGGTATTGGTGACCGATTTGTAGATCTTAAATCTAAAATACTTGCAAATGCTCGAATGGATTATGTGTATAATGCTGTTGTGACTGATGAGCTAATTATGTCATTTGGAACTACTTTATTGAGGAAGCTTGGGTCAGGGCCAGCAAATGATATAACTCAACGAATGCGCCAGCTTGCAAGGCTTGTGATTGTCTTGAATGAAAGATCTGGAAAGGGACCTGTTGAATTGAACAGCTACATTGCCCCAAACAATTTTGATGAAGTTATTAAAGCCACAGAGGAGCTTTGCGGTTTGTACATATCCAAAGATGGACGAAGACATTTCAAAGTCCTTCATTAGCTTTACGGTTGGGACATCTACTGAATAAAGTAACAGATGTAAGACTTTCGGTCTTTGATGAAGGCAGAAAGGACGGATACTATATCATCGAATGCATTGACCACAATGAAACAAAAAAAAGACCAAGAGATTCTTATTCTTCCTTAAACAGAGGATCTTATAACAATGAAAGACTTTCTCATAAGAGAAATTAAACATCTCTGTCAAAGGCTTCAAGAAAATCCAAGCTATCACATTTGGAGGAAGCTAGCCCAGTATGTAATGACACGGCTGATTCTTTTTAACAAGAGGCGTGGTGGTGAAGTGACACCAGGTTGTTGCTAGAAACCTATCTTAAAAAGCCAAACTGGAGCGAAAATGAAAACAAAGAACTGTTGTCATCTTTGAATCCACTTGAAAAGCAGTTAATCAAAAGGCGAGTTTGTATAATCTATTTTAATGGCAATGGGCATTACGTGTTGCACCTGTCAAATAATCTTCCTCTGTTCCATAATTCTTGTTAATGCAACTTCTCCTATACCACTGTTTTGGAATTAACCAAATTTATGATATCTCGGTCAAGTACAAAACTGGGTCAGGTTTGATAAAAAAGTAGGTCACTAGGTCAAATTCAAATTAATTAAAGTTGAGTTGTCTTCGGATAAAAAACACAATTACAGCTAAAGTGTTAAAATTATATATAAATCGCTGTCGAAGATGTCTTTGCGAAAGAGGAGTAAGTCAGGTTCCTTTATTTCAAAGAAACGATCAGAAAGTATCGGAAATATCAAGTTTTTTGCCAAGTTGCATGTACCGGAGAGTGAAAATGACTGGGTAACAGAAGTCAACGCTGATTTGGACGAATCATTTCAGTGTTCTGTTGACAACAATGTGGATGAAATGGGTTTCTGGAGAGAAGGTCGTAGAATAGTTGAACTAGGATATTTAGCGGACAAGTTAAAGTGCACTGAGTGCAGTGAAAACCTTATTCTAAGTAACAGTCACGTCTCTTAGACGTATTATAGAAAGTGTTTTCAATTATGTACATAAAATTGTGTAAATCCAAACGAAAATATACAAAAAAGTATATTATTGAAAGTAATTTCAGCAGAATTTTCAAACATAAGTTGAAGTGTAAATTATAATTAAAAATTTTGACTCACTATTTTCTACCAAAACATTTGTGACATCGTGATTTGTTGATATTATATGGCATTTGACTATTTAAAAAAAGTATAAAAGCATGTAATGAATAGAAAAAATTGCTTTATATCATATTTCATATTGTTTTTTCTCTCATGCATACAAGTTGTGAACATCTCATTGAAAGATGTAATAATAACTGAAACAAACAAAAATCATGTATAATTATTTATTTTATATGAAGAATAATAATTATTTTTTTAAAAGAAACATGTAAGACAAGGAAATCTAGTCCTCATGGTGTTGAAAAATTATGAAAAATAGATACATTACAAAATGGCTATTTTTTACATATAAAGGGAGGTAATAAAACTGTTTTGTTTTCTTCCAAAACAAGTATGAAAAGACAGCCACTTCTATTCTTATGCAGTCTTAAGAATGTATTAATTATTTTAAAACTTTACATTCTGTACCCTTTATAACTGCTACAAATCATGAAAATGATCATTTAGCCACATTTTACTATTAAGGGGAGGTAATAACTTGCCATTTTACTCAGAAACGTCTGTTTATCAACCAGTCGGTTTAAGTTTTTAGACATAAATTCCATCATTTTTTACCCAAAATGTACTGATTTTTATATCTGTTGTATTTTAAAATGCTCAATAAATATAATTTGAAGAAGAAATCATGACTTTTATGTATATTTCTTTTCTTTTATTACAATTATTGATTATAATTGTCTGAATATCATTTTTTAAAGGCATACAGAGTAATTGCCCTTGAAAAAGCGACATTGTGAAAAAACGAGCATGGTGACCCCTATTTTTAAACCTGATTTTTGTTCTATGTAACCCATAGAACAAATGTACAAAAAAGGAAAAAATTCTCCGCATAGAATCTTACGCCAGGATATGTCTTTAAGATAAAATATAAAAAATGAAGGAGGAGCTTATTTAGACAGGCTGGAATTCCACCAACAATACTAAGCGCTAAGAAGACTTAAGTGAATAGTGTTTTACAATTCATACCTTCTGAAATATTTAAAGTCCCATTAAGCCTTAGATAAGCAATTATAGTCATCAAACAAAAAAGCAATTGTGAGCCATAGTTTCGTTTTTTAAAATGCACTCTCTTTATCAACTAAGTCATAAAAAATGCATAAATAAGAAATAATCTTATACTAAAGATCATATCATTGTTTACAAACATAACTTTTCGCATATTATGGTTATCATCATAAATTTACCAACGACACTCCATGTGACTCCATTACTTATCACTATAGCACAATTGGATGACCCAACAGATAAATAACTTGTAAAATGTATAGTATGTAATACAAACACTGGGAAACGCCGTCAACCTGATGAAGCACCAATCCCATGAACAGAAACCAGTTATTGGTGCAAAGACTGCCAGAAACCTGCCAGAGCAGTTTCAGTTATTTTTGTGTGACATAGACTTAAGTGTAGTAAAATTCATTTAAGGAATATTGACTTGGTTACTTGTAATAAAAAAAAACCTGTAACAATAATTCTCATAGGAAATTTTCGGGTCATTTGTTATTGCAATTGCCATAACTCATTTTCTGTTTTATTATTTGATGCAATAACTAAATATGATGGAAATACTTTGAAGAAACCCAGTATTTTTCACTTTTTTTTTCATTTTACCTGTACTATTTTACCTGTATTGCGGTTCAAAGTCAACATAATTTTTTAAAATCATGTTCAACTGTTTGGTCAATCTATATAAAACAAAAAACTTATAGGTTTTAAATACTTTTATTCAACTATATTCAACATACATGAAGATAAACAATATTATGTAATTACAATTAATTTCAAATTAAATATATACGGTAGAATAGCAATACATAATAATATAGGGTTTTACAGAGCTGAAAGGGTTAAAGTTGTAAAAATGTTATGTTAACTTTAAAGTAAATAATGATTTTATTTCATTGCTGAATAATGTTTGCAATTATTTTATTTGACAGTGTGTATTTATTCAAATTTTGATGAACATATAAGAGTAATGGTACTGATACTTATTTACTTCCCCCAAAAAAGTACTGGTACTGGTAATGGTACTGCATAACTTGGCAAGTACTGATACTGGTACTTAAGTACTACACCCTTAGTACTAATGCAGCTCTGGCTGTAAGTGAAAGGGACATCAAAAGCAATTATTTTTTATTTCAGGGTAAATGAAACATCCAAGTCTGTGGAAGACATACTTAAGGATTTCAAGGAGAATACCATAAGCTGCAGCAAAAGAACTACACTAGTTGTATTCCGCCAGAAAGTTCTGGAGTCTGCATTTGTTGGCATGTCAAGACATTCCTTTAAACTCAATGCAAATGTATACATTAAGTTCTCTGAGGAAATGGGTCAGGATTACAGCGGTTCAAGAAGAGAATTTTACAGGTTTGTATCGAAAATGGCGAGGAATCTTCCTTGCTATAACAAGCAATTATCAAAGTATTGCAAGCAATCCATAAGTCCCCTACTGCTTAAAACCCCAGCAACATTCTGAAGGGCCATTGGCCATTCACTTATGTCTTTATTTTAAGTAAATTTGTAAAAAAAATTCTTTAAAAGTGATCACAGGAAACAGTTTTTATGTACAGACAGACAGACAGACTGAAGGACACTCTAAAGTTTTTTTTAAACATCCCTGTTATCAAAATATAACATTTTAAAAAAAAAAATTCTTAAAAAGGAGATAACTCTTGAAATAAAGATGCAAGATGTCATACACGATAAGAGTGTAACAAAGAACAATCAGTAATGAAGGTGTTGATAATGAATGTTTATTTTGAATTTGAAGTAAAAGAAAGTTAAAAAAAAAAAATTTTTTTTCATGAAAATTCTAAGTTCAAGTGAGGAAAGTCTGATTATTTTTGTGCTAGAGTTGTAAACCTTGTCACATATGATGTGGTTGATGACTAGAAACTTATATTTAAAGTTTGAAAAAAATACCTTAAGAAATAAAGAACTTACAGTGAAAAAACGTTAAAACTAGAATTAGAAATCTTGAAATTCAGTCTATTTGTTGCCATAGCAACCAGAATTTTCAACATAGGAAGAAAAAAACAAGATGTGCATAATCTCCAGACTGCCATCTACCCATATTTCAATTTTCCTAAAAATATTTTCATTACTGTTTGAGTTATCACTTGATTCAGGTTATGTGTAAAATTTGCCATATTTTCAGTCTATTTGTTGCCATAGCAACCAGAATTTTCAACATAGGAAGAAAAGAAAAAGACGTGCATAATCTCCATACTGCCATCTATCCAAATGCCAAGTTTCATACAAATATTTTCAGTACTTTTTGCAGTATCACTGGATCCAGATTATGTCTAAAATTTGCCATATTTTCAGTCTATTTGTTGCCATAGCAACCAGAATTTTCAACATAGGAAGAAAAGAAAAAGATGTGCATAATCTCCATACTGCCATCTATCCATAATTCAAGTTTCATAAAAATATTTTCAGTACTTTTTGCGTTATTGCGGGATCCAGTTTTGTAACATTGTGAACATTTCTTGGGGAAAAAGGGAACCTAACTTTGATTACATGATAGCTGTTGCCAGTAGAAAATTCTGGAAACAAAGTGATCCCTCGGAAGCACTAATCACAACAAAATAACATAAGAATTGCAGACTCGGTTTGATTGAGTCTGTACATGAGGGAAAATGAATAGGTGCAACATCCCTCACGCCCCCTAGCACCGGCTTGAGCGGTACTCAATTCTCAACACTTTATAGTGTAACCTTAATTCGAAAAAGCTGTCGCATATAAATCTTATACATGTTTTACATTTTTTGTACTTCAGGTTAGCATTACAGGAGCTCCATAACTCTCCAT